AGGCGCTGTAGCTCCGGGCTCTGCAAACACAGACTGATCATCATCTACACCAGGAGAGGAGTGCCCTGTCCCAGAGCTTAGAACAATCCAGCTTCACGTTACACAATGTTGCTGTTAGAGGGGCCATGGAGTCGACTCTGACCATAGTGACCCATGCGCCACAGAAGGCAGCCTTGCCCAGCCTGCGCCATCTTCATAATGGGTATGCTCGAACCTATGGTGGCAGCCACGGTGGCAGTTCATCTTGCTGAGGACCTTCCTCTTTCTTGCTGCCTCTCTATTTGACCAAGGACTGGTCTCTCCTGATAACCTGTCCAAAGTACATGAGATAAAGTCTCTCCACCCTGGCTTCTCCGGAGCATGCCACTTGCACTGCTTCCAAGAGTGGTTTGTTTGTTCTTTGTCCACGTGCACACATAGGAAAGAATACAGACCGGTGTATACGTGAATTGTGAGTCAGCAAGCCGTGAGCGGGGCCTAGGACTCCAATTCTGGTAGGTTCAATTAACCAACAGGAGAGAAGGAGGCCTCGTGTCTGAATCGAGAGCATCGGCTCACGGCTGGCTCTCTCCCTGTGTCTGCGATGGGGAAGGTCCTCTCGGAGATCCCAGCTCATAGCGACCCTCTCTGTCAGAGTAGAACTGTTCCCTGGGGTTTCTGAGGATGTAAATCTTTGTGAGCGCAGCCTGCCTCATCTTTCTCCCGTAGAGCAGCAGGTGAATGGAACTGCTGCCCTCACTCAGGTTTACTAGCTGAGCACCCAACCCACGACACTTCCCAGACGCGTGGCAAGTTGGAATGCAGGTGTGCGACTTGTCCTATGAGACGAGATCCCTTGGCTAGTAGGATGGAAACAGTGAGCCCTCCCCAGAAAAACGCATGCCTCACAAAGGCCAACTCCAGCAAGCTCTCGAGACAAACGAGCAGGACTGACAGTTCCAGGGAACAAGGGGCAGGGGGAGGCCGGGGAAGGAAGAGGGGTGTCAACCAACCCAGGGACAAGGGAACAAGTGATGGTGAGGAGGGTGTAGGAGGCCTGGTAGGGCTGGATCAAGGGCAATGTAACTGAGAGGAATTACTGAAACCCGAATGAAGGTTGAACATGACAGTGGACAAGAGAAAAGTAAAAGGAAATAGAGAAAAGAAGTAGGAGGCAAAGGACATTTATAGCAGTCTAAATACAGGCATGTAGATAGGTAAATATATTTATATATAACGGTAGGGAAATAGATCCATGTACATATATTTAATAGGTTAAATATTAAGGTAGCAGCTGAACATTGGGCCTCTACTCAAGTACTCCCTCAATGCAAGAACA